AACACTTTTGTTTTACAAAGTGCATTCAGTGAATTGTGTTCCCTCAAAGAAGGAGAGGAGGGGTGTTGGAGGAACAACAAATCAGGGAGATCCTAGATTGGGTTGCCTCTATCATTTGTGTCATTAAAACCATTTTGAGTTGTAGGGGGAGAGGAAAAAAGCCTTGCCTTGTGTGCTGAAGTTGGGAAATAAACACTGCACTCTGCCCACAGTCTTAAGTGTGTCTGGAGCTTCTCTTATTGCCTTCTTAGTGCAGTACCCAGCAAAGTAAATTTGAAAAGATCTCATTCTGCGAATGAAAGCATATTGAAATCTTGAATGGTTCAGAACACCTTGTTCTGTCAAGATACCCATTTCCTTCCATTTTTGCATTTCGCCTTGAGGTTGATGTTTTGCCCTCTGTGCACTGTGTTAGTATTCATTTTGTATTGTACTTACGTAATAAATTTTTCTTCCCAGATCATTCAACTTCAAGTGGTACATCCTCGTTTAAGCCCAGCCGATCACTGGTTTCTATTCCCACTGCCCATGTGATGCCGTCTAATGCCAGCTCTTCACTTTCCAAACACAGGGAAGCTTTCAAGTCTGATGGCTCTAAATGGAGTACAAGCTTTGTACGGTCAGGAGGAGGCAGAAATCCAGATGCCCTAGACAATTCTCTTGACATGAAAACCGCAAGACCTGTAAGAAAATGGTCCTCCTTGTCTAAGCTCAGCTCACCAAACACCTTCAGCCAGGATGGCAGTAGTCATTCAGTGGACTCCAGAGCCGGTACAGACAAAGCTGTGTCACCACCATTAAGGACAAATGGGCCAAACTGTTTGCATGACAGCATGGAGTTGCTAAAAATTGAGGACAAGGAAATAGGGAAAAAACGGTCTTCTCTACTGGACTGCAAGTACAAATTTGAAACGTGCAACAAAGATGATTTTGTTTCAGATTCCTCGAGTAGGAGACATGCCTTAGACTTGAACTACAGTGCCTTACCCGAAAGCAAACCTGTGGCAGCCAGTTGTGAAGCTTTTGGACAGAGATATGCAACCTTGGGACAACAGGCTGTGAGTGGAGCTCCCATACAGCCAGCAGTGAGGACTCAAATGTGGCTTAAAGAACAGTTACGGGCAAATCCCCTGGACTGCAGGACTGCAGAAGAGCCCTATGGTGTAGCTGCATGGCACCTACAGCAGCTTGAAGACTTCAGGCCGGGAAGTGAAGACCCTGTGCAGGTAAGGCTACAGCTTGGTGTTTGCTGCCATCGTGTGGCATCTCGTGTTATATGTGAAGAATAATGCCTTTCATAGAGTTTTTAGTAAAACACAACAGGAAACTCAAGTCCTCTCAACCAGGTGGTGGTAGTTTTAAATGTATATTGGGGTTGCTGCTACTTGTGTCTTAGTATCATGTGACTGCCAGCAATTTTCTTCTGACATCTGTTTGCTTAGATTCAATCTGTTGGTTCACATGAGACCAGCATCTCTTGTTGAAGCTGGGTACAGTAAGAGATTAATCAGAAAACAATTTTTAAAATTTTTAACAGTTCTTAAGAGCATTTTTTGTCATAGTGTAGTGGAGGAAATGTGAATGTCTATTTTCATCTGAACTGAGAGATTTAATTTACACAATCAGAAGGACTGATACCTGCATACAACAATATCGCTATGTCCAGGACTTAAAAGCTTAGTTCAGTTTGTTGTTACTGCTTATTTTTTTAGTAAATTAACTGACTGCAGTTAGTTGAATCTAATCACATTTATTTAAATAAAATGTATTTGTCTTATTTGAAGCTTTTTCATATAGTAAACATTATGGTTTTTTTTTTTGTTTGTTTGTTTGTTTTTTTAAGATGGTATTTTTAAGCCTTTCTGATATGACAATTCCCAGTCTTCGCATCCACCTCCTCCCTAATGGGAAAAGATAGTTTGTAAGGGAAGGCATGAATTAGAAATATTAATACTTAAGTATGTAGATAGAGTTGTCTGAAAGTTGCAAGGAGATTACATTATGTAAACTTCTGCATCAGGCAGTGTGAAGTTAGTCTAGGATACTGTCTCAAAAAAGATAATCTAGCTGTATGTGAAAATAACCATTTCTTCTGGCCTGACAATAACAAACAGTTGTGCTCAAATTTTGTTGTTTGTTCCATTGTGCACTGTGGGAAAGACTGAGAAATTTAGAAGTTCTCAGGATCCCACAATGCTCTTAAAGGGATCTGTGTTTTTATTATTATTTATTAACATAGAAAGTTGAGGCTGATTCATATTACCAAATTATTATTATTATGACATTTTTCTAGGTTCTTCGCTTCTCACAAGTGTATCCTCAGTCTGGTTGTGATGAAATGCTTTTTTTTTTTTTTTTTTTTTTTTTTAACAGATGAAGGCCAACCTCTTGTTGTGGTTAAGGGCAGGTAGGCAGGCATAGATTCCCAGCTGTATTTTGAGGACAGAGCTCATAGGGGGAGCACAAACATTAGTTATCTTTTTGGCTTCATTTATAAGATGGTACAGCAGCTTTTCTGCTTGTAAGATTGCAGGTTAAAGTTTTTCCTAAAGCTGCTTTGTCTTGCTTCTGTTACTTTTATATCTAGATTGGTAATTTATAGCTGGATCAGTGTTTGTTATAGAATATAGATAGGATCCTTGCTTCCTCAGGCAGACCGTTAAGCTGTGTCAACCCTTAATGATAGGGTTTCTCACATTGTTCAGAGAGGTTGTGGATTCCCAATCCCTGGAGGGATTCAAGGCCAGGCTGGATGTGGTTCTGGGCAGCCTGGTCTGGTGGTAGTACTGAAACTAGTTGATCTTTTGAAGTCCTTTTCAACACAGGCCATTCTATGATTCTCTGCTTTCCCCCTTACTCAGTTGCAACGGCAGATCACAGGGAGTCTGGCAGTAATTAAAAGGAGTTCCTGCTGGCTCTAACAAGTGCTTTCATTGATATGGTTTAGGGTTGCATTGCTGGGTCTTGAAATAGGTCTGTCAGATTTCCTTAGTTGAGAGGATGGACTTGTCAAATAAGATTCCATAAAGCAGAAAAGTAAAGCATGGCCATGAGCTGAGCTCTTCAGGGTGTTCTCTCCTGCCTCTAGGTGTGGTAACTAACAAGGAGGGAGTTTTTTATTTTTTTTTTTAATGGAGAAGCTATGAATGAAAACACACAGACAACCCTCTATCGTATCTTAGCTTCAGCTGGGATATCTTAATTCAGCTGGGCCTGTTATTATATATTTTGGTTCTAGGACAAAATCAAAACCACTGATGATAATGTACCAGTGTTTACAGTTGCTGCTAAGCAGGGTTGTACAGAGCCAAGGCCATTCTCTGTGAAGGGCCCCTGGAGCTGGGAAGGAAGAGAATTAGGACAGCTGACTTAAACTGGCCTTGGGGATATTCCATACCACGTAGCATCAAACTGAAGGAGCTTTGAAGGGAATGGGAGTCCATCTCCCTCTCTTCTACTACTTGGGAGGGACTACATGGGCATTGGTCAGTGGGTGGTGAGTAAGCTGCTTGTGCAGAGCTTGTTGAATACATATATATAGTCATAATGATTTTTCTTTTTGCTATCTAAGTAAAAAGTTTTGTCTCAAGCCATGAGAGTCTCTCCTCCATCCCAGTGGGAAGGGGGGCAGTGAGCAGATGACTGCGTGGTGCTGAGCCACCTGCTGGGTTAAACCATGACATAGAAATCTTTCCCCTTTTTCTGTTTCCTGCCCCCTCCCCTTTTAGTGATTATTATTTCAGGTATTTTGCTTTCTATCACATATGCTGATAGAAATGCAGTGCTTTTACAGGACTGAAATAATTGCTATTTATCGTAATTCTGCTTTAAAACATTGCCCTGAACAGAAAACAAACTGAACTTTACTTTAAACAGAGAATATCAGGCAGTTCTGTGTAACTTTAAGGTGTGCTGGTGGCATATGGAGAATAATGGGCCCTGAAGATGTGAGAATCCTAAGGAAAGTTCAGAGTGTTGGGAAGCAGAGTTGCAACCTGTCCTGAAAGAGACTCTCAGAACAGCTGTGATTTATACCAGTAGGAAAGATACTGTACATCAACAAAAGCTCTCCTCAGAGAAGGCACAATGTTTGTCTGTGGTGTGGTGTGTGTAGGTTTCTGAACTGAATCTCCAAGGAGGATCTAGGCTTTGCTTATTGTATAACATGGAATTGAGTATGGGAATGCTTTTTGTAGCAAATTTGTATTCAGTGTAAGCTTTTTGAAGATGAACATTCTTCTAGACTTCCAAAGAACAGATTTTAATGATACTAGAACAAAAATAACTTTCCTGCAGAATTTATATTTCATCGCACAATTATTTTTTCAGTGCTCAGCTGATCTTTCAGTATTTCAGCAGAGGTGACTGTTCTAATACTTTTTAATTTTAAACTCTCAAAGTTAGTGAGTGGCTAATTAAACCTTTAAGAAGAAATGCTTGTAGTACACATCCCATCTACTGAACTTACAGGACATATAAATCTGTATACAAAAGCTCCATGTTTCCATGCAAATGCATTTCTTAAAGCCTGATCCTCTCATCTGACTGCAATTAATAGATACTGTATGTTAGCCCAGAATAAAAGATATACCTTCAAAACTGTAGGAGATAATACAGGAGGAAAGAAGTTTCAGAAGGCTTCGTGCAGCACAGTACAACTAATGTGTTGGTTTGGTTTTTTTTCCAGTTCACGTGGCATCCTTGGGATTATTTTTTTCATGGTGTGCTAGCTTTGAACAGAATATTGCAGAGATGATAGATGGAAGTTGCTTAAGTGCATCTTCTTCCATTTGTGTATCTCATTTACTGTTTTTTTGTTGTTTTTTTTTTTTAATGAGGAAAATACTGTCAAGTTCATACCTTATATATGTTACTACAAATCAAATTTTAAGTGAGAAACTAGAGATGCTACAACAGTCATCATTTCAAAACAGTCAAAACATATCTGAACATCACCAAACATATAAAAGTTTAATTGAAAGAATGTGCTTCACATCATATTGTTGTCATTGAATTTTATTCTGAAATGTGAACTCGAAAGTATTTTTCCTTATGATTCTGACAGGTCAGAAAAGTGAAGGAGAGAAGTCATTATAAATGCTTTCAAAATCTGACTTGAGAAAAACATACTTTCCAGCAGGATAAAAATTTCAAACATCACTTATAGTTAACAGAATTAGTTCACTGCTGTGAGCTTTTATGCTCTGTTTCTTTCGCTGTGAAGTTGGTTGCAGGCTGACAAATGGATTCAACCCATAGTGAATACGTGCGCTCAGTCTAAGTGCTAGCAGATGGTGGCAAACCAAGCTTGGACCATGCCTGATTACAGAAAAAGGCTTGGCATTGGATGACTGATAGCTTTTCCAATTTTGTACGTCATCCCAGGAGAATGCATGTTCAGTTTCAGCAGCGCGTTTCAACATTTATTTAAGGTTCTGTGATTTTCGTTGCGGTCTGGGAGAAGTTTGGTGTTGTTTCATGGGGTAGCTACATCCTAATGGCAGTTTGTGCATAGCTTTAGAACTGGAGATAAGTGATAGGTCAAGTTACTACACTCAACTTTGTCCTTTTGAATGAAAGGAATTGATTTTTTATTTTTTTTTTTAATGCTAGTTCATTTAGCTCTTTTTAGCTGTTCAGCTGTCGCAGTGACTTCCATAAGGTAAGGGAGCTCTTGTTTTTGCAGAAGAATAGGCATAAAATACTCAGGGTGGCCATTTTGCTTGAGAACTAGTTTTTACTCTTCATCAGACTAGAGTGGCCTTCATATCAGTTTCTTAATTTTGTGATTTTTTTTTTTTTTTTTTTTTTTTTTCATCTTGTCTATTACATGAACTATCAGAAATCCTTCTAAATAATATGGAACTGTATTACTGTTACAACGTCAATCCCACATACATAAATGTACAGATTTTAAAGCAGAACGTTTCAAGATAATCAAAATAAGTGAAAAAGTGGTTACAGTGTGAAATTTCCTGCTTTGAATACAAATATTATGTATTCACATAAAAAAAAAAAAAAAAAAAAAAAAAAAAGCAGAAGCTCTTTTTAAGTTTTTATTGCACAAGAGAAAGCACAAGAGAAATCTTTTATTTGACTTCTCTGTCAGTGCTGTCCCACATAATGGTGTCTCGATGCTGAAGGAGATAATGTGGTGTGAAACATGGGTGCCTGGTCATGGTGGGCCTGCACACCATGTTTCTATTGGCATATTGTCTTCCTTTTGTGCTAAGTCTTTTTGTAGATCTTTTTGTAGTACAGTCTCTTCTGTACTGAATGACTGAAATGACTGAACCAGCCGCAACAGCAGTAATAGTGTGGCAATCCTATGTGGAGCTGGAGTAGATCAGCTCTGTAATGTTGGGGGCACCTGTGGTATCAACTGCGTACCTGCTGGTCCAGGGAACTCTTCTGTCATAAAGGAGCTGGAAATTGGGTTTTCCTCACCTCTGGGCACCACCAGCATCTTGCATGTGTATGGCATTAAATTTACAATATGATACTGGTATGTTGTTACGTTTGGTTCCCAACTTGTTGGGGGAATAGAGAGATGCTGAAGAGCAGACTTCTTGGCCTCAGTGTGGTGTTTGTAGTCTGCTTGTGGCTTCCTTCTCTCCCTGTGTATCTTAGGGTTGCCTGGTAGGCAAATTATTCTAGTAGAAAGGAGCTCTCCTTGGTCACTGCCTTTCCCAGCAAGCGTGGAGAAAGCAGATCATCCTGTGAAGGGCTGTAGGGGGAGGTCCCATGGGAAGCTTTCATTGCAGGCTTGATGTGAGGATGAGCTATAGGTGGCTAACTATGCTGCTGTGGTACGCATACAACAAATGGAGTGTCAAACAGCTTGAGGGCTCCAGGCAGCACTCTTGACCTGTGCATAAGTGGTGAACTTGTTGAGGATGCAGCACTCTTCTTGCTGTTATGCAGAGGCTCTGACAGCTCACATATGCAGCAGTGCTGAAGGATTCGTGGATATGATAACCCTTGCTTGCTAGTGGCCCTTGTTTGGGTTTGATTTCTGTTTTGTTTGTTATAGGTCTAACAGCTGCTGCTTCTGTTACTGATGTGTAACATGAATGCTTTCTGGCTTTTAAGATGTTGCTGTGAATCACAGGTGTCAAAAAGTGTCCCTAAAAATTACATTTTCAGATTTAAACTTAACTTGTCCACATCTCAGTTGCTGTAAACCACAGCAACCTCTTCCATCCCCAGCATCTGTACTTTTGCACTCCACGGGAGATCTGAAATTGTTTTTTGAAGGATGCTGATCTTTTGCTGGTCCTTAAAATGAAAGTTGACTGCAGCATTTATAAAACTAAAGTAACCCTTTATGCGTACTTGGATTTCTTTCTGTACTCAACAAGGCTCTCAGCGCTTTCCTTACTCAATGGCATGACATAATTGTGTGTAGATTTAAGGTTCACTTCTGATAAAACCCTCTGAACACTTTCTCTGTCAGATACTTCAATCTATGCAGTCTTGTCGTATTTCTGGTTAGATAGATTGACCTCCTTACGTTATCATTGCAAAAGAACCCCAAGCCCTCAGAACAAGATTTGAAAAGAAACCTCCCAGGGATTATTCACATCAGCTTCACAAGGATAAATGCGAGTACTAAAACCAAGACTATGAGCAGGAAATTGAGCAGCAGGTTGAGACCTCTGTTGGTAGCAAGATCCATAACGTGCGCTGGTCTGCCCTCTTGTGCTAGCAGCAGCCCTCTGGGTTGTTTGCTCAGTGGTAAGCAGTGCAGAGTCACACAAATTTCATTGTCTTCAGCTGTTAACCTGTTCTTAGTTTCTGCCAATTATGAAAAAAATTATTAATAGAAGGTTTTTTTTTTTCCTTTCTAAAAAAAAAAAAAAAAAATCTGAATGTTCCTACAAGCCTTCTTGTTTCTCCAAATTCCTTTTAAAAAGAAAAAAAATAATAATGAAAGACTTGAATTTTGTACAGATTGGCTCTTTATTTATATACTTTTTCTATGAGCACAGCACTCTGCAGGACCCTATGATTTCTAACAGAACTCTATTCTCAGTGTTTACTCAGGCTTCCAGTCGTAGATTGTTGGAAAAATCATTTTTCTAAAAGATCTCTGTAGATGAAAACCACAACATTTTCTGGGCAAAATGCACCTCTTTTAATTGGAGTATTTCCTACCTTTCTACGTTCTGGCATTGTGCACCGCGGTGTAGGTAGTGTTTTGCCAACAGTATGCTGCGTAGGACTCATTGCATCTTCACAACATGAATTCCACCTGAGAAGTTTAGATTGAGCTGGCAGAGTAGGTATCCATAGTGCTACTAATAGCACCTATGCCATAGCCTTTTGTAAGATAGTATCTCATTGTTCTTATGCAAAAATGTATGCATAGAAAAGAAACAAATATGACCAGTTCTCTCTTACACTGAAATGTTGCCAGACCTTTTTAATGATCTAAGTTCTTAGAAAAGATCACAAGAGGGCACTGTTCACTGTTCTATAGTTCTGTATGCTATACAAGATGGTGCTTCTGTGATTTTATCTTTAAGAGCGAACAAACAAAAAGAGCAACAAAAAAGAACCTTAGAAAGTGGTCAGCTTGACTGAACTGTCAGATACTACCATGAATACAGAGCCCATTTAAAAATGACTTCAATTGTCTGTGTTCTTGTGAAGATAACCACCAGTTTTTAAAGGAATTCTTGGAAATGTGTTCTTGCTTTAAGCCTTGCAGTGAGCAAGAGGTGTTCTATCATCTCTTTCCATGAGCAAAACTCAAACCTCCTTCAGTTTTTAACATCTAGTCAAAGAAGTTCAGTGTTAAATATGATAAATGTGATATCCCTGGATCCTGTAGAACATCGCAAATATTTTTGTGACAGTTAATAGCCATATAAAGTTGGTATCTGGCCATAATCTATCATGCATCAGTTTGCTTCCAGTTAGGAACAGGGGTACTCTCAGAATGAATGTGTTCATTGCACTGTGCTCAAATTTTGGTACAGTGGGCTTAAAGTACAAGACATGAGTGAATGTGTAATATGATTATTGTTTTCCGGGTATTCTTAAAAAGTTTCTGTGGAAGTTCTTTGTGCTCGGAAGCCAAACACTTTGACTTTTGTGAGAAGCTTTGTTAAAGGCTTCTCTGCCCTTAAAGGCTGCCTGACATTGGTGTTGGACTGAGTGCCACACTTGGCAATGGCTACCTCTCATTCACGTGACTTTGATTTTAAGTAAATAATGGGATGGATGCTTCTTTATAAACAATTGTTTGAATTTCTTCTTTTATTCAGTAATATGTTTTCACACAGTCATTTTAATAAAAATACAGCTGATGCCAGTTTGGAAGCTCTTACAAGTATACCAAGGAAAATACTGTGTAAAAGAGCCTTTATCTCTGGGTTCAGTTGACATTTTGTGATGTGGAGCATGGGAGCAGTTTTTCATATCAACGGAACACAGAGGTGCAAATGAACCTCACAGTACTTGCAATTTATCTGTGTTAATGTAAAATAACAGTAGAGCTTCCAGCTTATTTATACCATGGTTGATTCTTGTTTGCTTATTATCTTTAAATGATTAATGGCTTTTGAGGTACAGAAGAAAAAAGCAGGTATTTTAATTTTTATAGGGAAGCTGTTTTTCTTTATTTAGCAGTGCTCTGCTTTGATTACAAGCTTGTAGATCCTATAACTTCAAAATATCTCAGAATGTGTGCTGATAATTTACTCTTATCACCTTTTCTCTTCAGAAAGTTTTTCAGTACTACAAAACAGTTATTTCCAGTAGAAATTTATTAAAATAAGTCGAAATTAATCTAAAATGCCTGTATGAGAAAAGCAAGATGGAAACCTTCCCATCACATAATATGGATTTAAAAATAGAAGAAAGTAACTTTTCAATTATTTCTTTTTTATTATTTTCTATTATTTGTATTCTCCCCACAGTAGTGCACTGTGGCTTTTCTTTTCCTTCTTCTGTGTGGTAGTAGTGATAGGAAAAGTGCATGTATGGAAAATCATGATTTGTGAAGATGATCAGAATGCATGAAACAGGAATCGAGGTTTATATTGACAATTCTAGTCACTATGATTTGAAATGGGATGCATGTGTTGCCAATTACATCAGTATTTGCCTTAATCCTCATACAGTAACTAACTACATCTAGTGACTAACCTTACTTCAGAGATCTGCTCTTAGTGTACCTATTTGCTAGTTCATCACCACTGAGCTTGCATTACATTCAATACAAGAAGGGTTTTTTTTTTTCCTCAGAGATTTCTTCCCTTTCTGCTTAGTTGTTCATTGTTAACCCATATTTATATAATGTTAAGTCTTAAAAACAGAGTATAAGATTAAGATAAACTTCATTTGATTTCCTGCTTTCATCAGTGGGATTATTTGCCCAAGAAAGATGCCTGTTCAAAATAATGTCTGATCTCTGTCTGTTGATTGTTGAGCTTTCTTTGTTTGAAAACTGTAATGTTTCTAGGAATTTAGCCTAACACCAACATGTGAGAGGGCTGGAAGTCTGCTCAGGCCTATTACTGATATCTGCTGGAGCAGAAGCTTCACCTTGTATTTGTATAGACTGTGTTTTAGGTACTAAACACATTTTTCTGCAATGTTCTTCCTCCTATACATGATATATGATACATTTATCTTAGGAAAATACTTGCTTGTTCTCTAACAGTCATTTGCAGTTGAAGATGGTGGTGTTGCTTGTATTTCTGCAGTGTGCCCCATTTGCAGTAGTAAACACGACCTAAACCTTTTTCTTTACCACATCAAATGTAAGTCACATAGAATGGCAGTGGCAAATGCCAAACTATCTGTAGTTTTAAACTCAGGCAATTATTGTGTGAATTATAGCAGGCTGTAATCAAGTTGTCTGCAACCAAACATTAAGAACTTGGAGCTATTTGTAATTTTTTACTTGTGCCGATCGTTTATGCTACTTACAGAAAATGAAATCTTTGCCAGTGTGGTAGCATGCATTTGTCTGCAAAAACATACTGAAAAATCTTTTTGGTTGTCATTTAAATCTGTAAGATTATATCATATGAAAATGGAACAGCGACAAATTCCAGTGAAAAAAAATTGCCTTTTTGTTTTCAGATCCAAGGTGTGAGTGTATAGAAATATGCAAATACATTAAATATGTATATATATATATAAAGGATCCTTTAAATTTGAAGAAGAGCATTTGAAATTAAAAAAAAAAAAAAAAAAAATCTGTTCAGAAGATTTTTTTTGTTTTACTTTCATTCTTATAAAAATGCTGGAACAAGGTGAATGCCTTCAGTTGATAGCACAAAGATACAGCATGTTTTAGGACTCGGAGCAGATGTCCTCCTACTCTGCAGTATGTGGTATGTGTGCTGTTCTTTCAGCTGAATTTGGAACGTGCCCAATGGTTTATGGACTTCCAGAGATCCTGAAAAAGTACACTTCTTGCTTGTCAGTAGTGGCTAACCCATGGAAAACTGGCTAAAATATGGGGAGACTTACCAGCCCTCTGGAGAGGCAGTTCCCTGCACCAGAACAGACATCTCTTGACTGAACAGATAAAATAGGTCATGCACAGCTGTGTAACAACAAGCTCTAGACACTGTTCAGCACAGAAGTGTGTTTTTAATACATGTGGCAGGCAGTAAGAGCAGCGCGACGGCTGGCACACAGCACAGCCTTAGTCCAAGTGCTAGCCCCTCTCCCAAGGGGATCCTTGCATTGGGGTTGGAAGTGGAGGTCGCTCTTCCCTTTGGGCGGCTTTCCTAGAGAACAGTGCAGAGAAGTGCTGGAACTTCAGATGAGCATCACAATGATACAGATCAGCAAGAGGCAAATTAAGATCAGGCAGAAATTCACAAAGAGCTCCTGGAGCCTTTGGCGTGCTTGTGGGTTGACCTCAATAGTTGAGGCTCTCCTCAGAGCAGAGCGGGTTATGTATTGGACCTTCTCCATGGCAGCAAGAAAGCAGAGGGCACAAATCAGAGGTTTTAGAAGTGCAGGATAGGAGTGGAGTTGTCAGGAACAGTGAAAAGTGCCTGTTATCTTCTCTTTTTGTTTAGACAGCCTTTGTGGAGCTGGGAAAGCAGGAAAGTGAAGAGTTAGAAATGCAGAAGTAAAGTGCTTTGATAAGTGCAGATGGAGATTGTTTTAAGGTTCTGAGAAGCTTGAATAACTTGTTTTCATGAGGGCTTTAGTTTAAAATGATGTTTTTAAAATGTTGTTTTCCAAGTTCATGTTTGTGCTGCATTACATTTCTCCTCCCAGGGGCTACTGAGCACCTGCTTCTTGGCAGGGGTTGAAGACTGTAAAATGGAAATTGTGGAAATGTGGGACTTACCAGGTCCTGCCTTTTTAGATCCTTATCTTTCCATCCTTTGTGGTCTGTGAAAAGACTGAGGTTTTTTTCTGCCCCTCTTCTCCCATTACTACTAATTCAAGCACACCTGAAGACTTGTGTTAGGGCTGAAGGCCAGGATGCCTGGCTATGGTTGCTCATGATCTGTATAGATCATCAGACTTGCTAGAGCCTTGTTTTGGAAGGGAGGAGAATGAATCTTTATTCATTGCCATTCCAAATAAAAAATACTTTATGGTGTGTAGTTAAAAGCTATACATCATTGATACAAGGAATTTTAGTACTATATTTTTCACTACACAGACTAGGATAAGGACTAAAATATTTAGGTACACAGGCTGCTATGGGAGCAAGATAAAGCAAGTGTATTACTTTGTCTCCTGCTTGAAATAAAACATGCGCTCCTGTATCTTCTCCCTTTTGATGGCACATGGAAGTACAGGGTGTTGGT